CTCCTCCCCTTCCTGCCTCTGCCCCTTTTGCCCTCTTTTTCCCTGATGCCCACCCCCTCACCACTCTCTGCCCCATCCCCTCCTGCCCCTCTGTGCCCTCATACATCACTTGCTCATGCCCACCCCTTCTTTCAAGCCTTCTTCCAGCACCTCCCCCTCCAGCCCCCAATGCCCTTCCTCTCTCCTCTCCTCTCCCAGCATCACCCTGTCCCCCTCCTGCCCTTTCCCTCATTGTCTGCACTTGGCCCCCTGGCATTTGTCTCTCTCTCCTGCACCCTGTCCTTGATGCCTTCCCCTCCCGAGCCCCTTCTCTTTCCACTTCTCCCCCTCCGCGCAAGCCCGCTGCCGCCGCCTCCTCCTCCTGCTCCTCCTCCTCGCCTCCGCCCAAGCCCGTTCCCTACCTTCTGCCTTCCACATTGCAGGGCCGGAGGCCGCCAGAGCCATTTAAAATCTCAGGCTGTGACGTCACGTAAAGCCCGGGCATGCTCCCCGCCCACATGCAACGCTGCACATGGGCAGCAGCAGGTGGTGAGGAGGAGCCGCGCACGGCGGGGACACTCTGGGGGTGGGGTGGCAGGACACACGGGGGGGCCCGCGCCAGGCAGAACCGGGGGAGAGACCCAGCTGGCACTTCCGGGTTCAGGGGCGCGGGGCCCGAATTGGCCTGAGGCCGGCCCTGCCGGCAGTCACCAGCCATGCTGAGGCCCAGTATTTTTTTCCCGCGGCCCGGTACCAGGCCGCAGCCCATAGTTTGTGAAACGCTGCTATAAAGGTTATATTTGTTCATACTTATAAAGCAAATGAATGAAACATATAGATATCTCGCACTTATCTATTCTCATTTAGCACATGGGATGAAAATTAATAAGTAACTACATTCTCCATTTTGATCCTTTGGCTAGTGATACACAGTGTTCAACATTGTGCAGCTTCATTTAAGGATTTAAATGCTTAATATTTTTACCTAAATCACTAAGGCTCCCACTCTGTTGGCTTAATGCAACAGCTGAATCAGCAGCCAGATCTGAGAGCTGGCAAGATCCAGGTTCCTTGTAGTATTATATGAGTAAAGGCTAGAAAAGCCCACCCAGTCTTTGACTTAAGCTGCTTGTCACAATTCCTTCTCCCTTCAATATTTATTTAGATTCATAGTGAAAACTATCTAGACCAGTTGGCTCCTATTGGCCATTGGTGGTAAACTTTATTCCATAAACAAGCGATTCTCAAATCTTTTCTTATAGGGGACTACTTACTAGGTTCCACACCCAACCTTCCAAATGTGTTGTTACACTTCCAAACATTGTTCCTTATACCTTCTCATGAAATTGCAGTAATACTGTGCTTGATTACATACAAAATTATTATAGTATAAAGGACAGTATAAAGAAAGCAAAATAAAATTAACTTGGTTTAATATGATGAGTGTGGCTGCCTGTTTACATCATCCCAGTTTGCAGCTGTATTATTAATTTCCTCTCTATAGGTGCCATATTTACATATTTTGGTACTCAAACTTCCCCATGCTTCCTGTGCACGCCCACTACTTTATAATCCAGTGTTTCCCAATTTTATTTGGCCATGGAACTCTTTTCAGCTTTTCAGAATTTCAAGGAACCCCTAGGTTTGTCAAGCAAAAAGAGGGGGAAGGGGGACCCACCAGTGCATGAAAATCACATTCCTTCCCCAAGACCCTACCCCTTCTTTGAGGTCCATCCTCTCTATTTCCCTCCTCTCCATCACTTGCTATCCCCAGCCCTTATACACTCTCACTGGGTTGAGAGAGGAGGTGTGGGCTCTGGGGTGGGAATGAGGGATTTGGGTGTGAGAAGGGGTGAGAAGTGCAAGCTCTGGGAGGGAATTTGGATGAAGGCAAAGGGGCTGCTGGCTCGGGGAGGGGGCTCCAGGCTGGCGAGTGTTGGGCTCAAGTGGAAGGTTGGGGTGCCGAGCAAGTCACAGGCTTGTGGATGTGAGGGTGCGGGAGTTTGAGTTGTATATGTGAGGGGCTCAGGGCAAGGAGGCTGAGAGTATGATGGGCTCAGGACACAGATTTGCGATGTGTGGATGTCGGAGGAGTATTGTGGCAGAAGACTGAGGATGTGGGAATGTGGGAGTTTGGGGATGTAAGAGGCTCAGGACAGGGGATTCCAGGGTATGATAGGCTCAGATTTGGGGTCAGGTGGTGCAGGAGTGTTATGATGCTGCAGTGAGATGGGGATTTGGCCCCAATTGGGGGCATGTTGTCCAGGCTTCATTTTTAAATAAAATATTATTATGTCAAACTCAAAGACTACGACTACGTTCTTTTGCGCAAGAACTCTTTTATGGAAAAGTTCTCGTGCAAAAACTCTTCCAGAAGAGAGCGTCTACACTGGCATGTGCATTTGAGCAAGTGATGTGCTTTTGCGCAAGAGCATCCATGCTAGTGTAGATGCTCTCTTGCGCAAGAAAGCTCTGATGGCCATTTTAACCATAGGGCTTTCTTGCGCAAGAAATTCATGTTGCCTGTCTACACTGGCCTCTTGCGCAAGAACAGCTGCGCAAGAGGGCTTATTCCTGAGCGGGAGTATCATAGTTCTTGCGCCAGAAGCCCTGATTTCATACATTAGAACATCAGTGTTCTTGCTCAAGAACTCACGGCCAGTGTAGACAGGCAGCAAGTTTTGGCGCAAAAGCAGCTGCTTTTGCGCAAGATCGCAGCAATGTAAACAGCCAAAAGGTTTTAGAATTGTCTTTATTTATGAGAGGTGTGGGGAACCTGTTTTGAGTTCAGGGTCACTGACCCACAGAAAAGTCAGTTGGTGCCACATAAATGAGATGCAAAAAAACCCCTCCAAAACCCCCAAGCCTCACTAATGTGATCCCAACTGTGCTGGTGGGGGCAGGGGACAGGGTGCTAGTGGGTGCTGGGGCCGGGGAGAGGGTGCTGCTGGGTGGCAGGATGCTGGGGTCAGGGACATGGTCCTGCTGGGCACTGGGGTGGGTGGCAGGGTGCTGGGACAAGGAACAGGGTGCTGCTGGGTGCTAGGATAGGTGGAGGGTGCTGGGATGAGGAACAGGGTGCAGCTGGGTGCTAGGATGGGTGGCAGAGTGCTAGGGCCAGGGCCAGGTTTCTAGGGTGGCCATCCTGCAGCACCTCTGGGTTCCAGGAAGTGTGCAACTGCACTTCCCCTCCCCAAACAGCTGGCGTGCGCACTTCCTGAACAGCAGGGGCTGTTGAACTCCAGCAACTTACTTCCATGATGCCGTCCTGCGGGGTGGGGGAGCGTGCGGGGAGTCCCAGGGCAGAGAGCACTGCCTGCACAGTTGGAGCTGTGCAGACCCAGGTCTCCTGGCTCCCCCCCCCCCACCATGCAGAAAGGCTGCAGAACTAAGTTACCGGGTGCCACAGCCCCAGCTGTTCAGGCAGCGAACGCTGGCTCCTTTGGGGAGGGGAAGTGCCTCCCTCCCTGCTTTGGGTCATGTGGGGGCACCCCTGTCTGGCACCCCCATAGTGTGCCAGCTGGGAGCAACTGTTCCCCTCTGCCCCCACCTCACTATGTCTCTGTGTTGCCAGGGAGGAAGAGGAAACAAATGTGCTGCTTTTTTAAGAAGCTGGCTCTCTCTTTTAGAGGGGGCAGGGGACTGCTGGCTCCTTGTGGAACCCCTACTGTTGCTTCACGGAACCCCAGGATTCCACGGAACACCAACTGGGAAACACTGCTATAATCTATTCAGGCCAATTTATAGTTTGGTTCTTTCCTACAGTACATTTGCTATTCATACAATTGTAGCGTTATTAGCAAATGTTATGAATATTGATCTTACCTCAGAGAAACATGAAATAAAGACTACAGTCACACAGGCTGTAGAGATGGAATTACTGTAGTTTAATTGATAAATGCACCACTGGGGGGGGGGGGGGGGGAGGGGAGTCCCTGACCGTCAGGAAAAAATGGAGCCAAGCCAGGGGAAAAGTGGAGTCCTCTCCCTCAATCCCCTGGTATGACAAATTCTTTGGTTTGGGACCAGTCAACTCCTGAGACTGCCGGACCAGTGAGCTTCAAGCTGTACCTATTTAGAACTTGGAAAGGACAATGTGAGGGAGGTAAGAATTGCGTGGAGGAAAGATTTTGATTAGATCTTATTTCCTACTGTGACAAGGGCCCCTGTTATCCAGGCCACTGCTGGGGCCAGCCTCTCGCTCTCAACCTTAGGGACTGGGATTTGCAGCAGGTCTCTGTGGTAGGGAGCCCAGCCACGCCTCCTGGGACTCCTCCCCCAACTGTTTCTGTATTAATGCTGGTATGAATCGCTCTCTAACCTTTGGCTCGCTGTCTCTCCTCCCATCCTCTCACTGTCCTCCCCAGCTTCCCACTGCTGAGGCTTTTTAACAGCCTTCAGCTAGCCAGCAGGGGAGTCAGCTAGCCCCAATCTGCCTAAGCCAGCTCCCTCCCAGCTGCATCTAATTGTCCTGCAGCCCTCTGCTTCTATTTGCACGTCTTTTACCCTTTTTGGTCTGCCTTCCCTTCCCCCCAGGCAGTGCAGAGCTGCCTGGCCACACTTCCACATAGGAGCCAGAAGGGGGGACTGCATTGTTGCTCCTGGAAGCTGCTTGAGGGAAACACTGCATGGAGCTTACACCCTTGAAACCTCTCTCCCTTGCATTTCAACTCCCTGCCCCAGCCCTGAGCACCTTCCTGCACCCAACCCCCTCCAACCCAGCCAGAGGCACCCTCCTGCACCCCAAGTCCCTCATCTTCAGCCTCACCCCAGAGCCTGCACTTCTTGCTGGAACACTTCCCCGCCCCCTTGCACTCCACCCCCCTGCCTTGATCCCTCTTCTGCTCTCTGAACCCCTTGGTACTGGTCCAGAGCATCCTCCTGCTCCCCAAACTCCTCATCCCCACCCCAGAGTCCATACTCTAGCTGGAGCCTCACCCTTCCTGCATGCCAACTCCCTGCCCCAGCCCTGATCCTCCTGCCACCTTCTGAACCCCTATTCTGGCCCCATCCCAGAACCTACACTCCCAGCTAGAGTCCTCACCTCCTCCCACACCCCAACCCCCAGTTTTATGAGCATTCATGGCCCTCCATACAATTTCCATACTGAAATGTGGCCCTAAGGTCAAAAAGTTTGCCTATCTCTTTATTTTTACTTTCTTAAAATATTTGGGAAAACTTAAAAAACAATGAATAGTCTAGCAGCACCTTAAAGACTAACAAAACATGTAGATGGTATCATGAGCTTTCGTGGGTACAACCCACTTCTTCAGATGAAACCCATGAAAGCTCAGGATACCATCTAGCGCTATGTCTACACTGGCGGGTTCTTGTGCAAGAAGTCTTGCACAAGAAAATGTCCACACTGCCATGTGCAAGCTGTGCTTTTGTGCAAGAGCTCCCATGGCAGTGTGGACTCTCTTTTGTGCAAGAAAGCTCTGATGGCCATTTTAGTCATAGGGCTTTCTTGCACAAGAAATCCCTGCCAAGCGTCCACACTGCCATCTTGCGCAAGAGCTCCTGCACAAGAGGGCTTACACCTGTTAAAAAAAGAGTGTAGCTGTTGCGCAAGGAAACCTCTCTTACCACGCAGTACTGTAAATTTCCTTGCACAAGAGCAGGCGGGCAGTGTGGATGCTCTGCAGATTCTTGTGCAAGAACGGCTGTACTTGTGCAAGAAGCCGCGAGTGTAGACATAGCCTACATATTTCGTTAGTCTTTAAGGTGCTGCTAGACTATTTGTTGTTTTTAAAATTTTTCCAGTTACAGACTAACTTGGCTACCTGTCTGAAGCTTTTAAAATATTTGAATAATATCAGTTCACCATAATCAGAAATTTTTCCCATCAAATCCATCAGCATTATCTCTGGGTAAACCGGTAAAATAATAAGGTATAAATATAAGAATCTTTCTTGCTAGATAATTTAATAGACTCTGAGATAATTTATTTTACTGCTCAGGAGAATTTGTTTCTGTTTTAGTTATTACTATTCTCAGTACCGACAGAGCAAGAAGCAATGGTCTCAAGCTGCAGTGTGGGAAATCTAGGTTGGATATGAGGAAAAAACCTATTTCAATTGGAGAGTGGTGAAGCACTTGAATGGGAGGTGGAACTATTTCACCTAGAGAGGTGGTGGAATCTCCAGCCTTAGAGATTTTGAAGGACAGGCTTGACAAAGCTGTGGCTGGAATGATTTTGTTGGTGTTGGTTCTGTTTTGAGCAGGGGGTTGGACTAGATCACCTCCTGAGGTCTCTCCCAAACCCTAATCTTCTATGATTTGATGGATTATACTTATTAACACCTGTATCATGTTAACATACTGATTTTTACTATGATATAGGTTTTATTTGTACATACAAATATGAACAATTTGAGTAAAATGCTGCTCAGGAAATTATTAGCAAGTTGTATTAAGCACCAAGAAAGTGAATCTTTTTATTCCATTTTGCACATTGACCAAAAAAAAAAAAATCAATCTGATTAATTATGTAACAATTTGTTTTTACCTTCTTAGCATTTGGGAAGAGCACAGGAATGAATCTAAAGTTCATGCTTCCTTGTTGGATGAACTCAATCTGCATCTAAAACAGAATAACTTTGACATTTAATTGAAAAGATTGTTACATGTTATTTTTTTAGTACATGTCCAAATTCCTACATATACAGAACTTTCACTGCTTATTCAAACTAGTCTTCTGTTACGATATTGACTTCTGGCTAATCAACTTCACTTCTAATTACATTAGGCACTGTTTGTGTGGCATATTTATATGACAGGTCTCTATACAGAAATAAGAGACACGGGGAAGGATTCTTCAAAGCTTTATTTCCTATTTGCCAGTTATTCAGAATTAAATAATTGTATTTTTCAGTTGCACCGAGTAATTCTGTCAAATAAATCAAGAATTGTTTAAGCAATTGGTAAGGAATGCAGTTCAGTTTACAAAGTAGTGAAAACATTAATTTCAATATCTGCACTATTTAGGTCATTCTGTGTCCTAGCTAGGATGCTAACTAAAGTTCTGTAACATGTAGACTCAGGTTTAATCTGACTTAGGTTCTGATGCAAATGGTGAGAACTAGAAGGGTATGTCTACACTACGGGCCAAGATCAAATTAAGATACACAATTTCAGCTACATTAATTGTGTAGCTGAAATCAAAGTACCTTAACTCAACTTTTGGCGCTGTCCACACTGCAAGAAGTTGAAGGGAGTGAATTCTCCCTTCGATTTCCCTTACTCCTCATGGAAGCAGGACTACCGGGATTGACTGGAGTGCCCCCTCAGTTCTAATTAGCTGTCTTAACTAATTCAAACTCTAGAAGATCAACAGTGGCACCTTCAATCTTCTCTGTAGTGTAGACATACCCAAAGTGTTGCCAAGGTAAAGGGCTTAGCTTTCAAATGGGAGACAGGTTACCTTTGTATTAGCTTATTCTGCCTGATCTGTATAGAGCTCTGGAGAGAACTGTTTTGAGAAGTTTAAATAGGAGGTTTGTTGTGGCAATGTGAGGCCTATAAGGTTACCACATGAAATAGGCAGGAGTTCTGAGAAGGGAGGAAGAAAGAACAGGAAAGAACACCAGGGTAAATCTCCTCTCCTGCCTGCCCTGTGCTTAGTTTAACAATCCCATGTCCCAGTCACCTGCCTGACAGAGCCCTCAGCCAGCAGGGTGAATTACAGGGAGAAAAATAAGGCAACATATATCAGATCATGCTGAGGGGCATTGGAGATCATATAACGGGTTAAGACAGGGGTAGGCAATAATTTTTGATGGGGGGATCACTCCAAGAATTTGGAAAGAGGTTGAGGGCTGCACTTTTCCATTATAATGGAAAAGGTAAGGGGTCTGGGATGGAGGATAGCTGCAGAAAGGAGCTTGGGGTAAGAGAGGGAATTTGCGTGAAGGAAGTGGTTGTGACTTGGGGCAATGGACTCGGGTGCAAGGGTTGGATTGTGACCTTGGGCAGGGGATTGGGGTACAGGAGGGAGTGCAGGGGATTGAGGTGCACAAGTCTGGATTATGAACTAGAGCAGGAGGGGACTGTGATCTATGGCATGGGATTGGGGTGCCAGATCTGGGAAACGTTGTGGGTGCAGGAAGATGGCAGAGGATTTGGGTATGTGGAGTAGGGGGGCTGAAGCAGGGGGCAGAGGGTTGGGGGAGCCAGCAGCCCAGCACTTTCCTGAAGCAGCCTCCCTGCCTGCCCCGTTCCCGTATAGGTATCAGCCATGTGCTCTGTGAATAACTATGAGCCCCAGAAGGAAGGGGGCGTGGTGCTTCTTAGCCATCTGTTATTGAAACAGGCAGCTCCCAGGGTACATCTACACTACCACCCTAGTTCAAACTAGGGTGGTTAATGTAGTCATTCGAAGTTGCAAATGAAGCCCAGGATTTAAATATCCCGGGCTTCATTTGCATCTTGCCGGGCGCTGCCATTTTAAAATCCCCATTAGTGCGGACTCCGTGCCCGCGGCTACACACGGCACGGAGTAGGTAGTTCGAATTAGGCTAATTTGAACTACCGTTACTCCTCGTTCAAACTAGGTAGAATTAGAAACTACCTACTCCATGCTGCGTGTAGCCGCGGGCACGGAGTCCGCACTAACGGGGATTTTAAAATGGCGGCGCCCGGCAAGATGCAAATGAAGCCCGGGATATTTAAATCCCGGCCTTCATTTGCAACTTCGAATGACTACATTAGCCACCCTAGTTCAAACTAGGGTGGTAGTGTAGACATACCTCTATTGACTAGTTTCTGGCCAAAAACTGGCCAACTGGATTGTGCTGGAGGCAGGTGTGGCTCCTAAAGCCTTCCCTCCAGGCTCTCAGATTTTGAAGCAAAACTGCCCAGCAGCCGCATTTCTGAGCAGCGTGTGGGTGGGGCAAGGCAAGCAGAGAGAGGTGTGTCTCCTAAAGCCTTCCCTCCAGGCTCTCAGATTTTGAAGCAAAACTGCCCAGCAGCCGCATTTCTGAGCAGCGTGTGGGTGGGGCAAGGCAAGCAGAGAGCCTGCCTGGGGCTCCCCATAGTGTCCACAGGCCAGATCCAATGGCTTGGTGGGCTGGATCCATCCCGTGGCCCGTATTTTGCCCAGGCCTGGTTTAAGATGATGAACTAGAGCATAAAAAAATCCTGTTTCATAAAATCACAGAGAATAGGGAAGAATAAGGTGGCACATAGTTAATCTTGAACTCAAACTGCATTTCCTAGCCAATAATATGGACTGCAGGATACTGATTAGAAGGGAGGCATTAATGTGAGTACCACAGAGAACATGCATTTGGAGAAAGATTTGCCTTTAAGAGAAGAAGAGATGAAACAGATTTCTTTTAAAATGGCAAACGCGTGTGCTCCTTACCATCCTGTGGATGTATTTAGTATGTAAGCCATGCTCATCCCTGTCCAGCTGGGATTCAGCCCCTTCAACATCCTGCTTGTATTTTGGACTGATTGCTATGATTATCATCACCGTCTTCTGTTAGGGAGAAAAGCACTCATATGAGATTGTGAAATGCATCGTGTTTGGTAGAGGCCGCTTGGAAAACTGCCAGCTAGTATTTTAAGTGCTCTTGATGTTCTTGGCAAATATCAGAGCATCTCATTCATTATGGCAAGTGAAATACTGTGAAACTCATCCACACCCTCTCCTCGCTCTTTCTTGTTATTGCTACTTCTTACATATAAAATACCTAAATGTCAGTGGATAAGATCAAGAGATAATAGTGTTGACCAATTTACAATAGAAACCATCTTAATAAAAAGTAATGTATGTGTAATACAGTTAGGCCCAGACATTCAAAAGTGCACATGCTATTACAGTTGTCAGTGGGCTCCATGCCTGGGACCTTCGGCACCAAAAGCACAATCCTGTCACCTACCTCAAAAGTTTCTTTAACTGTGAGAAAGTAGAATACTGTATTGTTGTGGGGCCAGGTACTACAAGGAGTCATGGTAACTTGCACTGGACCAACATAGCACATAATCGACTTTACACAAGCCTGGCTGCCAGATGTGTGTGCACGTCACGGATTGGCATGTACCTATGCACACACATGTGCTCACCCCCGTATTGCTTGCATATGCTTCTGAAAATGTGAGTCTGACTTCAAGGATGTCAAAGAGCTCTGAAAGCACTAATTAATTAAACTTCCCAACAGCCCTGGTAGGCAGATAAACATTGCGAACTCCATTTTATGGATGAGAAAGTTGAGGTACAGAGAGGCTAATTGTCTTGATCGAGGCCACATAGTGAGTCAGATAGGCTATGTCTACACTACCAGGTTACTTCAAAATAAAAACTCTTGAAATAACTACAGGCAGTCCCCAGGTTACATGGATCCGACTTACATCAGATCCCTACTTACAAACGGGGTGAGGCAACCCTGCACTAGCTGCTTCCCCCCAGCAGACCAGGGAGACGCGAAGCTAGCGCCTCCCCCCTCCCCCCCCGCAGACCAGGGAGACGCAGAGTGGCTTTTCTCAGCAGACACCTCAGCTTGAGAATAAAGGACTGAGGGAAGTGAGGTGTGGGAGAATAAAACTGAGCTCTGGAGAAATGTTTGGCTAGAGTTTCCCCTACCATATGTACCAGTTCCGACTTACATACAAATTCAACTTAAGAACAAACCTACAGTCCCTATCTTGTACGTAACCCGGGGACTGCCTGTATTTCGAATAGCACATCCAAACTACAAATCCCCATTGAACTAGCACAGGACTATATGGAAATAGCATGTCCACACTCATTGGAAGTTGAATCACATTTAAAGCCCCCCAGAAGCACTCTGGGCAGGGCATCAGGACAGCAGTCATTTCCTGAAACTGATACATGAGACTATCTGAGCCTTGTGCTTAAAGGGGCTCCCCTCTACAGTCATGTCTCAGACTCGCCTCCATTGCCTACCTCCTTGAGGGACAGCAAACTCTCACTGCACCCTCTAGTAGCCCTTGCGGATGCCACAACACTTCCAACATGGAGCCAGACCTGATGAAAAACAGTCCCTGGCTCTTAGACCTGCTGCTGCAACTCCTGGTGCAATGTATGAAGGCTGCAGGAGGACTACCAGCCCAGAATGGGCAACCTCCTCACACAGGCCCAGGTGCTTTTCATGCACCACATTCCCCCCTGCACATTGTGCATTGCTGCTTCTGGTGCCGGGAGATCGGTACGGACTGATGGGAGCTGATCGTCATGGAGCAGTGGGATGACCAGCAGTGGCTCCAGAACATCTGCATGTGAAAGGGCACCTTCCTGGAGCTGTGCGAGTGGCTCGTCCCTGCCCTCAGGTGACAGGACACTCACATGAGACCCACCATCCCTCTCTGAGAAGGTGGGGCTCCCTAGGGAAGTGGGGGAATCTCCCTCCCTGGAGGTTTTTCAGTCCCGTTTTCACAAAGCCCTGCTGGGGATGGGGTAGTTGGGGTTGGTCCTCCTGTGGGAAGGAGCTTGGGCTTGGAGAAGTCCTGAGGGCTCTGGCAACCATGTGATTCAATGATTCTATCATACTAGAGGTGGTGAAGGCCATCAACATCATGCTGCTGAACAGGGTCATCACCCTGGGAATGTGGGCTCCATCATCACTGGCTTTGCCACCATGGGCTTCCCCAACTGTGTGTGTATGGGGGAGTGAATTGACAGCATCCACATCCCCATCCAGGCCCTAACCACCGTGCCTCCATCAATAGGAAGGGGTACTTTTCAGTGGTGCTGCAAACCCTCTGGGACCACCAGGGCTGGTTCACTGACATTAACGTTGGGTGTCGGGGAACATGCATGATGCCCGCATGTTTAGGAATTCCAGCCTGTTCCAGAAGATGCACGCCGGCACTTTTTTCCATCACCACATCAGCAGGGTCAGGAAGGTGGACATGCCCATCTGCATCATGGGTGACACAGGCTACCCCTTGCTCCCTGGCTAATGAAGCCCTACACGGGCAGCCTGGACCTCACCAAAGAACACTTTTATGCCAGACTCACTAGGTGTTGCATCATGGTGGAAGGCACCTTCGGCCACCTCAAGGAGAGGTTCCAATGTCTCCTCACCCACCTGGATCTTGGTGAGCGGAACATCCCCTAGCTGGTGGTGGCCTGCTGTGTCCTCCACAACCTCTGTGAGAACAAAGGGGAGATGCTCCTGCCAGAGTGGGGGACAGAGGCTGAGTGGCTTGCAGGGGCTTTGGAGCAGCCATGCATGTTTGCTATCTGGCAAGCCCATCGGGGTACTGGGAAAGTTTCACCCAAGGCCAGTTGCGACACTCCCCCAGACATCCCCACAAGGGACCTCTGATAGCCTGTGTTTGCCTTTCCTCCCACACCCTTCACTTCTCCTGCTCTCCCTTCCCCCCTCCCCGCCCTTCCCCAGCAGACCAAATAAAGAAGACTTTTTTGTTTGACACAATAAACTCTTGTTATTTTTATTTAGGGAATATATAACTGGGGAGAGATTGGTGAAAGAACCTGGGAGGGGGAAGAGGAAGGAGTGGGGAGGATGGGCTCAGGGTTGGGGCTGGGTAGGTCTTGCCTCGGGTGTGTCGGGACCAGTGCTTTTTTGGTTAAAAAAAAAGGTGCTGATGGGGAAAAGGTGTGGGTACCCCAGGGGAAAAGTTGTTGAGCTCTGACTGGACGTGCCAGTACCGCATGTAGAGGTGCCGGTACTGCATACCGGGCAGTACCATCACAAAAAAAGCACTGGTTGGGATGCGTTGACTGCCTGAGAGATCCCACTGCCTCATGTGTGCAACCTTCAGTGGCCCAGGAGGTGGGGGGCAGAGGAGCAGCCTGGGTGGTGGGGGGTAAGGGCAGGTGTGGAGGGATTTGGAAGGGAGTGGATGCTGGGGGGTGGGATGCTGGCCTGCCCAG